TCGTGGCGGATAAAACAAACAAAGGAAGACAAAAAAAAGCAGTTCTGCATATCCTGGAGATATTTTTCTTCTTCTTTTTTGCATGGGAAGGAATAGATTTAAACCCTCGTCAGCGTTTAACCCTTTAAAGCCCGATCCAAGAATAAAACAAAACAGAAAATCACTTTTTTTTTTAAGTCTATATTTGGCCTTTTAACAAAAATATGTAAATATACATTTTTAATATTAATGATTTATTACTATGGGATAGGTCAAGATTATTTTTTTGTGTAGTCTTCTGCCCCCTGTTATCAGGTACTGTATATCTGATTGTGTACAATAGGATTTTGAGCAAAGTTTTTACCATTAAATTATGCAAAATGTGTCAGATGCAAAATATTTCAGAAACAATATGTATCAAATATGAAACATTTGGCATTACAGGGTTAAATGCAAACAAATGAAGGCTACAAATAAAGGCAATAAAGGCTTCCTATAATCCATTTTATTCTAACAGTTTATTCTAAAAAAAGCGATTGAATTCTGAGCCGGCTTATACATGTCGAAGAAACTCAGGAACTCACTCAGAACTCACGTCTTATGTAATCTTGAACATGGAAGAAACTAGGAAAATATGTCAAAGCTTCCGTTGGTTTAATGGCTTTTTGCTAGTGGCCCACCATGTTTTCCAACAGACTCTGACTCAAACACAGACTTAAGGGGAGGGTGGGTGAGAGGGAGGAGGAGGTGGGGGGGGGGGTGCACAACATGGAGGAGGGGGTCAGGTTGGTAGCTTGGCAACTCGTCCATACGACAGAAACAGGATATCCTCAGTGGAAGCTTCGCTTTTAAAATTTCTTGCCCCGGACTGAAGGAAAATATCAATCATTTTGGGTACTTACTGGCACGGTGGGAGGGCGTAAAGAGTCCGTGCCGTGCATTTGCTTCCTCCTCTCTGTGATCCAGCTGTTGGGGCTTTGAATGCTGATGTGCAGTCGGCCTTTCTGACAGTTTAACGGGACGCACCTCTCCCCTCTCACTATTGTGTCGTCTCACATTTCAGACGCGCCTTTAGATAATCTCTCACACACACGGGGCCCCTGGCAGAGAGCAACACCTCTAACACCGCGGCCCCATGTGTGAACACCTGCCCCGTGCACACACACACACACGCACACACACACACACACACACACATATGCACACACACGTTTAATGCTGCTCCCTAATTATCGTGTACTTCTTCCTCTCATTTTGCACAGTTTTATTCATTCCATTTTTCTTAATTTATGATGTTTTTATTTATGAATTTGTATGTTTTCTTATGTTTCCATGTTGTTTTAATGTAGATTGTCTTTGTAAATTGTCCCTAAGTGGCATGAAAGGCGCTTTTTAAAAATAAAAATGTATTATCATTATTGTTATTATTATTCGTGTGCGTACGACTAAAAATACTTAACACATTTCTCTGCATGCGTCTCCTCTCTGCTACATATTTTTGTTTGCACACACGCACACACACACATGCACACACACACACACACACACACACACGCACACACACACACGCACACACACACATTTAATGCTGCTCCCTAATTATCGTGTACTTCCGAGGGCTTTCGCCTTTTCCCCAGATTTTGCAGTTTTATTAATTCAATTTCTCGTCATTTATGATGTTTTTATTTATGATGTATTGTGTTTTCTTATGTTTCCATGTTGTTTTAATGACGACCGTCTTTGCAAAGTGTCCTCGAGTGGCATGATAGGCGCTTTTTAAAAATAAAATGT